TGTTTCCTTTCTATTAAGTTCAAGACTACCTCTCTTAAAATGATGATGATCCATTAGTATCCTCAAGAAAATAAATGAATGGGTGAATAAGCAGAGAGAAAGAGAGGATAGAATGGATGCTATAAAATACACTTAATTTCTCTTTTATGTGAAAGTTCTTTGATCATGTGAAATCAACTAACTCTTATCTCTGTAGGCTATGTATTCCCAACTCCTTCAACATTTTTCAAAAGATATGCTTAGTTGCTGTTATTCTGTGTGTGAGAGAGGCAATGGGACATTCTGAGTGTGATCTGAGTAGTGTAGAACAGGAATTATTGTTTCTTCCTTCATTTTGCACATGAACTTCCAGTAATGTAGCCTAGGACTGGATTAAGTTTTTGGCAGGCACATTCTTATGTTGACTCATGCTAAACTTACCCTCAACTAAAACCATCAGGCAATTTCTTTCATATATTTGGTATTAAGTCAAACCTTCCACATCCTGTGTTTGTACAGTTCATTTTTGGACCTAAAATCAAGACTTTACACTTATTCCTATTAAGTTTCTTTATATTTGATTCAGTCCATTGTTCCAGATGATTCTGTCATCAACATACATTATCAACCCTTGGCTTTCACAGTCTGATCAACAGCATTGATGCCAATGCTCAGCGGGCCAGGGTTAAAAAATAAAGTTTGAAGAAAAACCTTTTCCTGCAAATTTATATTGATGGAATATTCATTAGCAATCGTTGGGTACAGTTCCTCAAATAGCTAATAATCCTTCTAGGGTTATGTCATCTGGCGTACACTTCTCAGTGTTAGCCACAGGATAACATGAGACAAGGAAATTCTAATGTCCAGGAGAGTACCCTTACTTGTGAAGTCCAGAGGTTAGAACAGGGTTTTCAGCCTACACACAATTGACAGTTTGAGTCAGATAAATTGTAAAGGAGCAGGGCTGTCTTGAGCACTGTAGAATGCTGGCTGCCTTCCTGGTCTCTACCTAGCCCATGGCTGTAGCACCCCCTTATTACACCTCTCCCTCCCTAGAAGCTGTAAGGATCAAAAGTGTCTCCACATACGGCTAAGTGTTTCATTGGGAGCAACAATGTCCCTCCCTGAGAAGCCCTGTTGTGGATTCTGCATTCCTCCAATGTAACCTTATAATTGGAGTCTACCTGTTATGGCTTTTTTTTTTTAACCTTTTCAAATAGCTATAATTATGAATAGGCTATTCATATAGAGCACCAAAACAACTCCTTATCAGGAATTAAATATGTAGATACATTGAAATGAGATATGGAAATCATAAGAAAAATAATGGGAAGAGTGAAGAGGGATAATATAATCTTAAAATTTAGAGTAGTTGACATTAAATTAATCATTGGGTAAAACAGTTATAAGGAAATTGAACAGAAATTATGTCATGTAAGAGGACATCTTATATCATTTTATATCTGGATGCTCATCAAAGTATGATTGGGAAGAGAGAAAAATGGAAACAGACTAAATGTCTGACAATAGAAGATAAATAAGTTATGGTATATTGATCTCAGAGACTATTAGAGAGTCATTGAAATGGCATATTTTCAAAACAATAATGACATGGGGAAATGCTCACAGTATAATGCTGTGGAAAAAGTGGGATATTATATATGCAGCATTGATACAAAGTTTCAAAGAAAATACATACACAGTAAAAAGATCACAAAATGTTAATAGTGGCTATAGAATTATGCATGATCATATTAGTTTTCTTAATGCTTTTTTTATGTCTCCAAAATTGTCTTCATGAATGTACTGTTTTTGTAAGTTTTATGTGCATGCATGGTCCTGGGCGTAAGCAATCCATATTCTCTTAGGTGAGTGAGCACTGGCAAGAGTTTCTCTTCTGTTGCCAAAAAAATATTCCAGTAAGGTACAATGCTTCAGAGAGGACACATGAGAAAAGATGACAATGCATTTAGCCTGGCTTATTCTTGGGAAAAAACAAAACAAAACAAAAAACCCAAAAAAACCTCTGTGTGTCCTTTTTCATAGGATAAGGATAGTTTAATGTTCCAACCAAATCCTGTCCCTTCAAGTCAGTGGTTCTCAGACTTTAGAATGCTAAAGAATCACATTGGGCTTGCCTATCAAATACAGATGCCTGAGCTCTAACTCCACAGGTTCTTATTCTGTTAGGTCTGGTATGAGAATCAAGCATACATTTTTTAAATTTTTTAATGTTTACTTATTTTTGAGAGACAGACAGAATGTGAGTGGGGGAGGGGCAGAGAGTGAGGGAGACACAGAATCCGAAGCAGGCTCCAGGCTCTGAGCTGTCAGCATCGAGCTCGAAGTGGGGCCTGAACTCACGAACTCACGGACTTCCAGATCATGACCTGAGCCGGAGTCGGGAGCTCAACTGACTGAGCCACCCAGGTGCCTCTCAAGCATCTTTATTTTTAACAAGCTCCCTACGTGATTCATTTTCATCAGGTGGTCTATGAATTACACTTGGAGAAACACAGCTAGAAGAAGTCATATGGTTTGATATGGATGACTTTTTAAAATTTATCTTCCACTTTGGATAATTTCTTCCTGGTTATACACTAAATAGAATTGGTATAAACCCTTGGTGTTATGCTGATTAACTGGCTCTTTGGGAAAACAAACCCAACTTACTACATTTGCCAATCTCTGTGGTGTAAATACTCCTACCAGGAACAATTTCAAACTACTAATCACTTAATGACCAGTTCACAAAATTCCTGAGAGTTTAACAATTGTCTCTTACAGGCTGATACAAGCTGGCTCTGGCACTGTATGATAAATATTTTATTTAAGTGCTTTAAATTCTTTGAAGAAAGGATATGTTAAATGAAAATCTATTATATCTATGACAGCTAGGATGCAACAAATAAGCAATAGGGCAGCTTGAATCATCCTAAGGTAACAAATTCTAAAGACATTAGAAAAAAAGACAACTTTGTGAACTTTTATACATGATTTCTTATTTTATTCTATTTTTTCCCCCGATGGCTCTGTCACAAAGAGTAATATACTCACTGAGTTCTTTAAGGGTTGTGAATTGGTTTCCTACAGATGATGGAGAGCCAAGAAATGGGACTCAAGGTTTGGCAGCAATGCCAAATGTTCAGCCAACACCCCCACCCTCGGTGGCCCTCCGTTCCTGAGCTGTTGAAATGCCCTTGGTCATTAATTCTGTACTACCCAACCATAAAATCAACCCCTCTAACTTCTTCCCCTCGCAGAAGATTGAGACAATGTTGTCTCAAGGAAACCCATATCAGATGTGTTTTATGTGTTCATGTGTGGGAATTGGTCTAAGTGGGGGCTAATAGTATAGTTCTTTCAATGTTTTGACCAGACATATTTTAAGAAAATTGGACCTGAAGCCTATATAGCCAGCTGAGGTGAATTTACAACTCTGCTTTTAAGAACAAAACTCCCTCAGGCACCTGCTTCCTAAAGGCAAAACCAGAAAGGAAATGAACTCTTGCTTAAAGACAACCCACCTAATTTTATGGGTTATCAATTTTTGAGCTGGCACGCAGTTCCCTTGCTACTAAGAGTAAACCCTCCCAACCCCAAACAAGTATTGAGCTACAAAAAAAAAAAAAAAATGTGACGTCTGAATTCTAGCAAACAGCCCCATTCCTGAAGACGAGGCAAGGATGTGGTGTCTCAGTGAGTGAAGTCAGGGGAGCATCAAAGATCTATGATGTGGACGCACCACATGGATGTCTTTGCCAATATACGCATTAAAACCTTAGCCTGAATTACATTTTACATTACAGGATTACTGAATCTTGGGCTCTGATAGAGAATTCATCTTTCCTGTTTAGGGGGCAGCTCTGTCAGGTGAATAGTCAGCAACAATATAAAGCACTTGATTTCCTTTTAACTGCACCACTGACCCTGGAAGTGAGCTTATCAACCGCTTTAAAATGAGAAGGGACTAAATCGGGCTTCTTTCCTTGCTATTGGTAGGGTCAGCTTTTATCAATGGGAATAGACTGCAAGACAGGGGTCAAAAGTTAACAATAGGTATTCAGCCTGCTCTGTGCTAAAAAGCGCGATGAATAAGTATGATTTTCTTAGTACACATTACTGGAGTATTAAAATAAGTACAAGAACTGACTCTAAAAACTACAAGGACTACTGTTACTAACAAGCGAGTGACAAGTTGGACAAATCTGACTTCATGCTTGATGAAGTCAGAATCAAGTACTTAAAATGATATGCTAGTTTTGTCACAATCTCAGTCTTTCCTCAAGATCCATTTAGTGGTGGCAGGTGAAGAATTTTCAAGAGAAATATGAATATTCAATTACATGTTTCAAAATCAGACATTTACAGATCAACTTGGGGTAAGTGCCAGAGTTAACCTCAAAGATAAGTGAAGGGCCTCTTGTCCAAATGGAACATTAAGCTCCTCAAACAGGAGAATTCAGTCCTTGCAAACTGTCATTATTTCAGTAAACGAAACCGGCCCTTTAACAGATGGGTGACATACTTTGCAACTTGCTGATAGCCTAATAAAAGACACTGGCTTTTTAAAAATGAAGGACATGCGCTTCTCAAATTACACCAACCAAATGGATTTAGCTGAATAAAATTAAGAAGGCATACAACAGCTTGACAAAAATTAGGAACAGACTATGGAAATTTGATAGTTCTAAACATCAACATCAAAATGACCTTTTTATTGAGAAAAAAAAATCTCACTGTTTAAACCATAGGGAAAATATACATTGATAGAGTCAAAACTGGGGTAGGATATCTTGGAATTGGAAGTAGTCATATAATAAAAACATAAAGTTAATTTCTTCTCCAAATATACTAAAAATTCCCCAGAAAGGCAGGTTCCTTTTACATCAGGTACCTTTGCTTTTGTATTAAACTCTATGCTTCTTAAAATAAAATCTCTCCAGTTGATTGATGCAATTACCAAATTAAACACAGGCCATGGATGCAAACAAAATAATGGGCTCAGCCTTTCTGCTCACCTTTCACGTTCTTCTTTCATTTTTTCCAGCTCCTCTTCCCTCAGGCCGCCATGCTTGTGAGTGCCCTTCTGCTCAGCCTTGCCTCCCTTATCATCTTTCTTCTTTCCAAATCTAGAAACACATGAAGAAGAAGATAGTTGTTAACACTAACCATGTTCTTCGGGTGGTAAATTTAAAATATTTATGAGATGAACTCATCAAACTGTGATTCTTTATTCTAAGTAGTACAAGATCATTTTGCATAAAATGGAAGTAAAATAAGATACTGAAAGCAGAAAAAGAATACAGTCACTAAATCCCTCTCCTTTCCCTCTTGTCCTTCTTTCCTTCCATCTTTCCACTGAGATGTTGATTGTGCATTATGCACAAAGTCATGTGGTTAAAGACTAAAAATCTCAAACCATGAATTCACTAGAAATTTAAGAACTGAAAAGTTATCATTAATATATAACTAACAACTGACTGAACTCCTAACCAGGTCTTCAGAGCCCCAGGTGGCATTGACATTTAAAGTTGAAACTCCTGGGACTAGATAATGATGGTACTTCAAGGGATCTCACCAAACGCCTAGTTTACTACTATCATTTTGCAAATGAGGCCTTGGGCCTTAGCCACCCAATGAGTTCAGCGAAGGCCTGGGATCAGAACTTGGGTTGTCTCCTCTACTGCACTTTCTCCTTCATGCTACATTCAGCCTTCCTAAATCAGCCCCGGGTTAGTGTGTTCTCAGTACCCTCAGTGCCTGGCATATTGGTAGCTAATGTGGCACAGTGGCAAGTATGATATATTATTTCTTTCCCTCCAGCTTTATGGAGATATGACTGACACATAATAACTAACTTCCAAACATAAGTCATATTTGTTTACACATTCAAGATCTCTCTTTAATCTATAAAGCAGGAGCTACATAAATAATGTGCATTTTCATGAGTACATTCGTTTGCTTTTCAGATCCATGAAGAAGATTCCTAGGGATCAACATTATGACTCTCAATTCCTTTATGTGAGAATACCTTTGTACATCACTTAGAGAAATGATTTGCCCTCAAAATGTCTTCAAATATAGTAAAATTGGGCCAAAAAAATCAAAATTGTAGGGGATGAGGATAGAATAATGCTCCAGAAAGTTGATGAGGGCAAAAATGTTGCCAAAAACTCCAGAGATATTAAGCATGCTTTTCTTCTGTGTTCCAAATATTTCTTCTGAATTTGAAGGTTTGGATTTTCTGAGATGAAAGAAGTCTTGTTTTTGAAGGGCAAAACTAACCTATACCCTAGCCTACCTTGATCTTCATTACCACAACCAATGAATTGTTTTTTCTTCCCATTCCTAAAATATTTCACTTGTACTGCAGTTCAAAAACAGCTTACTTTGTTTTCATCATAGTGGAATATGTCTGATAAAGGTTAGTTGTAAGTAAATTCTGCAAAGCATTTTCTTCTTAGCAAGAACCATCAATAACAGTCAGATCAATCAGTTCCACAAATAATATAAATGTTTTGATTTAAACTTCATGATCATTTATTAAAGTTTCCAAGAAGAAGGGCAGAAATAGCTGTGAAATTTATTTCATTAGACAGGGAGAACAGTCATAAATTACCTTATTTTGTAAAGTTTGGGTTGGTTCAAGAACAAAATTATAAAACAATCTTCAAAAGGACTCCCACATTGTTAAGATGAGGAAATTGAGACCCAGAGAAGTTAATTGCTTTTATTTATTAGCACACTGAATTCTTTTTTCCAATTTTGCAATCAGACAACTTAATTATCAGTGGTAGTACTGATGGGTGGGTTGGCCAGGGGCGTGGGGGGTGGGGATGTTGGAAGAAAAGCATCGATTTGGTGAATTGTATAAGCCTTGTTCTCTCCATGTAGCCTATTTGGGGGTTACTTCTCAGCCTTTCTTACTTTCATGGACATGCAGAAAGAGGAGTTGGGGAGGTTCAAATACATTGATTCATTTCACTATTAGTTATTTTTGTGAGAAAAGTCACAAGAGCTCTAAATGGCTAAAATTACTGCTTTGCATTCTAGGGTTTCAAACATCCCCTGCATTCCAGGTCTCCCATTATCTATTACCTAGGAAATTTGAGAGTTGGCCATTTTAGGCTAGGTGCCTTAAGGAAATTGCTTATAGGTCAACCTTGCTTTATATAAAAGATATTTTCCCGAAGAATTCAGTACAAACATATGGTTTGCATCAATGAAAACTTACTTTCTGTGTACCTGGAAAGCCTGTCTAAAGATTCTTATGATGGATCTTTTTGGAAAGTGGAAAAATCACCTTTCAACATACCCTTTATGTAAATTTAGATTTTCATGAATTATAAGTTTGCTTAAAACACCTGTCCCTGTTCATTTCTATAAAGAGGTTATTTGAAACAGCTTTATGGAAAACTAGCTTTCTTTCTGTCTTCTTTTTTTCTCTCGTGCATTTGTTTAAGAAATATTTATTAGACATATACTCTTTGTTAGTCATTGTTGTAAGCACTTAGTATAGGCTGAGGTTGAATTGGGATACAAACCCAGACACTACCCCTATGGAATTTACATTTTAGTGGAGAAGCTGAACATCAAAGAAGTACATTCAATTATAAGTTGCAAAAAAAATTCTATGAAGAGTGTTAGGAGAGATCATAATAGGAGACTGATTGGTTGAGGAAGTCTTCAGTGAGGAAATGACATTTACTCTAAGACTGTATGGGAGAGAGCCTCCAAACAAGCGAAGACTGGGGATAAGAAAGGCATAGCACACATAAAGAGCATGAAGTGGGGAAGGTCTGGTGCCTTCCAAGTGGTGAGAGAAGGCCAGAGTAGCTTAAGTGAGGGGAGCAGAGGGGGATACTAACACAGGATTTAGATGGCAAGCAGGGCACGGACCAGAGAGTGCAGGTGAGAGAAACCTGGAGTGTAGTCTAAGAGTGGCATCAGGTCATGTCTTAGTAAATCAAGGGACAGAGAGAAACTAGATAAAGAAACTGGTAAATTTAAAGAGTTGGTAGATGAGAGCAGAGGAGTAACCAAGTCACATTAAGCAGAAGTGATACTATATGATGCACATTTTAAAAGATCATCCTAGTTGCTGAAGTAAAAAGCAGCAAGTTAAAGTAGTAAAGCCCGCTCGTGCCTGCTACAACTGCTACAGGAATGTGGGTTAAAGACAATGGTGGTCTGGACTGGAGAAGGGGGTGCTGAGAAGACAATGATTTGGAAGTGGTCTCAAAGGAGAGGGACCAAAAGTTCACTTAAAAAATTTATCTATTTATTTTGAGAGAGAGAGAGAGAGAGAGAGAGAGAGAGAGAGAGAGAGAGAGAATCCCAAGCAGGCTCCACACTATAAGCACAGAGCCTGATGAGGGGCTTGATCTCATGAACCATGAGGTCATGATCTGAGCTGAAATGAAGAGTCAGATGCTTAGCTGAGCTACCCAGGCACCCCCAAAATGTTCACTTTTAAACATGGTTATTTTAGTATGCCTTTGGGAAATCCAAATGAATGATCTGATGAATGATCTGGAGACAAAAAGTCCTGAGGAACTGTATTATTTAAAGGCTGGAGACAAGAGTAGGGAGGTAGTGTAAAAAGGGGACAAAGAACAGCCAGAGAGATGAAGAAATTCAGGAGAGTATGGTGCAAGAGACCCGAGGGAAGAGCACTGTAAAGAGGCCATGGTCACCAGATGGAATTGCTATTGAGTCCACTGAGGTCAGGACTCCAGAGTTCATTGGATTTGGCACTCGGAAGCCATTTATCATGTTGGCATGGTTCAGGGCAGTGGTATGAGCAGAAGCCAGGTGACAGTGATTGCAAGAGCAAATAGCAGGTAAGTATAAAAGTGTGTATCTGTGTGTACAGCCACTTCAAGAAGTTGGCTGGTAGGGTGATTGCTAGAGGTGGGGTGGAATGTTAAAAAGGAAGTTTTCAATTTGGCTGATACTGGAAGTCTTCTGTTTGGTGATAGGAAGAAATGTCAGAGAGTGAAAGGCTGGAGCTGGAAGAGAGAGGAGAATAAAATTATTTTCTTTTTCAGTGTGGCAAAATATTCATAATGGAAAGCTTACCGTTTTAATCATTATGAAATATATAGTTCAGTAGCACTAAGTACAGTCACAATGTTGTGGAGCCAGCAACCTCCACCCATCTCCAGAATATTTTCATCATCCCAAACTGAAATTCTGTACCCACTACACAGTAATTCCCCATTTCTCCCTCCCCCAGCCCCTGGCAACCACTATTCTACTTTCTATCTCTATAAATTCTATTCTAGGTACTTCATATAAGCGGAATCATAAATTATTTGTCCTTCTGTGTTTGGCTTATTTCACTTAGCATAATGTCTTCAAGGTTCATCAATGCTGTAGCATGTGCCAGAATTTCCTTCTTTTTTAAGGCTGAATAACATTGCATCATATGGACATACCATAGTTGCTTATCGAGTCATCTGTTGACGGATATTTGTGCTGTGCGCATCTTTTGGCTATTGTGAATAATGTTATGAACACTTGTATAGTAGAACAAAGTTCTTGGGAAAAAGACAGAGATATACAGAACCTCCAGAGAGACTAGCAGCCAGAAGAAGAAACTAGTTCATTTACAGTTGATGAATAGACAGTGGAGGAGTTCCCAGGTAATTAATTTATTAGTCAATATGATGCAACACATATAAGAGAAATGGTTTCTATCCATAAAATGAGATATCTGGTACCAATTGAGAAATCAAAGGAAATAGACTATACAAGGTAGAAAAGAATCTCAGAAAGGGTTTATAAAAAAATACCCAAAACAGACCTCTCTTATTTTGCTATTATGCCTATGCAGGGAGGCCCTAAAAGACCATAGGGGGAAGTAGAATTTAATAATGGTTCATTCATTTATTCATTCATTCAATCATTTACTGAGCTGCTATGATACATCACATAGACTATTCACATGGAATGTAACCATTAACACCATCAATTGTTAGGTAAGTCCTTAATTCAATGAACTGAACAAGCTCCCAGCATCTTATTGTTTTCTTTTCTTTTTTTTTTTTTTTAATGTTTTATTTATTTCTAGAAGAGAGAGAGAGACAGCGTGAGCAGGGGAGGGTCAGAGAGAGAGGGAGTCACAGACTCTGAAACAGGCTCCAGGCTCTGAGCTGGCAGTCAGCACAGAGCCCGACGCGGGGCTCGAACCCACAAACTGCGAGATCATGACCTAAGCGAAAGTCGGACGCTTAACCGACTAATCCACCCAGGCGCCCCTTATTGTTTTCTATATAATAAAGATTTCACTACAATTCTTAGTAGTTATCCCCTAATTTCTCAGCAAATATTTTCTTCCATTTCTATTTCTTTCTATGAGTTTTCTAGATAATGACTGTCAAATCCTTCCCAGATTCCCACGCACCCTGACAAATGATCCAGATTTACAACATGGATACCTCTATTTCTGTCTTTTTTCACACCTAGTCTCTCATTTAATTCACTTCTTAATTCTGCTAAGTACTATCTATCTACAATTTTCCTCCCAGATCCCACTGGACAGTTACGTGGCTATTAGTATCCACTCTTCTTCCATTTAGTGCACACACTGTATAAAGCAATCCTAAACAATGGCTTATCATGACTAAAAAGTTCGGTAAGGAAAAAGTTCAAACACTCTTATTTCAAATTAGTGGCGAGCTATGAATCCAAGGAGAGCTGAATGTTTGAAACAGAATGCATTTCTTCCTTCTGCAATCAGGGAATACCTTTGGGTGTCAATGATACATTTGGAAAAGGATACAAGATCCAGTCATTACTAATATTACATTTTGAATGTCTATGGAATGATGTCAGGTATGGAAAAGCACCAACTTCACAGTCATAATATGTTCTGGACTTTGATAGCGGTTCATTCTCCCCGTACCTAGCTGACTTATAAACTATGATATTGTCTTATCATTTTGTAAATTATATACTTTGAAATAGCTCAAGCAAAATATAGGGGCCGAGAAGTTCACAAACCTTTGACTATATTTCCATAGTTTATTTTGAAATTTGCCCATAAAAGGTTTCTGTTGTCTGAAGCATTCTAAGTCAGGGTCTGATTTAGTATATGCATATGCTAATGAAATGTATTTCCACATATTGTAATCTCATATGTGCACTTTGGCTACTGCTTCTCTCTAAAATGTACATCACAAAGGCCTTTGCTTGTTTACCTGAGATGGCTCCCTTGTACTTGAGAGTTAATGAATCTGATAAACATTCAATGAAAATTAACCAATTAGAGTTTCTCCCCTTTTTTGGATACCTAGGGGCACTGCCTATTTTTATGTTAATATTACTGATAGAATAATGAACAAATTTGTGTTTGTTGTTAATCTTGATTAAGAAAGAGAAATGTTCCACTTTTATTTT